ATAAGAATATTAGAAAGATGCTTTAAAACCTAGCATAGCATCTATTTCCCTCGAAGGATTTACCTTGAGAAAGCATTTCCATTTAGGCTTTAATTCACCAGGGCACTCAATCACTTTAGCGCTAATTGAAATATATTAGAAATAGAAACACTTAATTTTTAGAAAGTACAATGGATTGACTTGCCTGACAAATGATGACTATAAATGTAATCCATTTGAAAATGGTTTACAGTGTGCAAATTTGGCTTTTAATGTATGTTAGCCCCACTACCTAGTTACAACAAAAGGCCATAAATCATTGCATGTAACTAAAAGCTCTGGCGGCATCTTAAGCCACAAAGAAACGAGTTGCCTTACCTTACAACATTAGTTTGGATTTTCTGTATATCTGTTTTGAAAAAGAGATGAGTGCACATCAAAATAAACATCTGAAATGCTAGCCTAGGCTACATTGTAAATCTATAAAGAGCCTCTGATTAGTGTCCTTCTACATTAATTGAACATGTATCACTAAAAGGACACAGTATCACTTTCAGTGGAATAGTTATTGTAATAAAAAAACAGATAATAAAACTGGCTACAGGGTTGTTTTGTATAATACTTAATTTTATAGACAGTGTTGCAACTTTATAAGTTCTCATCTAAAAGGGATTAGGCTGCTTTCAGCAACAAGCTTGAATGACAATTTAAAACAAGTCATGACTCTGAGTCTCAAGTGGATGCTGTGGAGGAAGTTAACTGGAGGTCTTAAAGGAGGCAGATGCAATGAAAGACTCCTTAGCCACTCTTCGAGCATGTCACCTTGTTGGCTGATTTCCATTTGTACTAAAGCACTATATCTATTGCAAATGGATGCCAAAGTAATGAATCTGATGAATACTTTATCACCAGCTTCCCCTTGGGCCACAGGAGACAGACCCTCAACGCTAGCAATATGCTAGCTATTTAAGAGGAAAGGTCAGATTTTTTTTTACAGTTGGAAATATCTGAATGGCTCCATCTGGGAGCTCCTCCCTAACAAAAGCCCCTCCCCCACACCCATTGTTTTTCATCACGATAATGTCTAAAAAATGAGGTCAAATGACTCGCCTAACACTTGATTCTTGAGATGTGGAGACCATTATGAGCATAAGGACTGTGAAAGAGATTAACATTGTGCTGACAGCGACACTGATCGCATTAAACATGTGGGGCAGCAAACAGGCGAGAGGATTTCGGCGTTTAATTAACAGTGACAGACTCAGGTGTGCCCGCAGATGTGTCAAAAGAGGTACACCAGGTTTACCCCAAAATGGGTGCATGGAACCGCAGATATATGGCAGCTATCTGATGTGTACAGACCTCACTATATCTGCTATATCTTCAACCAAGCTGCTGAGATGAGGCAGCCTTGCTTATACTTTTTAACAGAACTGGCTGTGGCCTAATTAAAAAAGTGATGAAATGCAGAAAGTGGAGAGAGTGCTTCTCAGCCACGGTTAGGCTCTGTGTTAAGGAGAGACTCAACAATTACTCCTTTAAATTGTGTCCTGTGGAGTTTGAACAGTCACTGAATATTTCATCTATTCTGTCTTACCAGCATCTGTACTGGGATGGGGACACTAAGCCATTTAAACTAGATGTTGTCTCTGGCACAAGTGCTTATAGTAAATGTCAAGACCTTTCAGAGCCATAATAATGACACAGTTGAGGAAAATGATACATGGCATCGTTTTTTTGTCCTGGATAAGGCTAGAAAACACAGCTCGAGTACAACCGTGTACAGCCAGAAGAGATTTTCATCAACCGGTCTGTTGACATGGGGCAATGATTTTAGATTTATACGAATACCAGACTTTCAAACTAGTGACAGGTCAATTTTGCACCATTACAGAGACTAAGGCCTGTGGTGCAGGCCTTATTTTGTGGCTGACGGCCAACTGTCAAACCAAATCACAAAAATAAGTGAGGATCATTGTCTTATTCTTGGTGTGTACAGCCTCACTCCGATTTATTTCCCTGGTTCCTATTTCCTGCCTTTGTAGAATGTAAAATGTGGTTTTTAAAGCACGATCAGTGTACCTTTTGTCTCACTCTCATACATATTTTATTGTGGAAATAGAAATAAAGGTGATGGACAAAGCACAGAGCACCAAGATAGAAAGACTGACATACTTTAGGAATACTACTGCAAATATAGCCTGTGCTTAAGATTTCAGTATACTTGGACTAAATTTACACTCGCTCTTTGCTGTTGATTACAGCTGCTTATCCGTGTGGAAGAGGCTTCCACTGATACCGTATGTTTCCTGACAGCATAGGGAACTGTCTTTTCATCTGGCTGTCCCCCTCAAATTTATAGCCAGATGAGTCATTTACTGGGAAAAGTCAAGGTTTATTCAACTGAATCCAAATGACAGAAAACCTGTAAAAAGATGGGGAAGAAAGGGATGGGTAGCTCCTCTAAACAATATGCTCCCTATGGAAGCTCATAGACTTCCAGTATGTAAAAAATGCAGCATATGTGCATAACTTGAATGCACTCATGTAAGACAAGACACTGTAGCAGCAGCAGCACGAATCTTTTCAAACACAAGGGCCTTTGTTAGAGGCTGAAATTGGCTGAGCTTTTAAGTAATCAGAAAAGATTAAAAGGGTGATGATACACATGTGGACCATTCCTCATCTACAAGAGGCTCAAATCATTTAATTGATGTGGACCCACTGTCCAACATGAATCAGGGCAGCAGTAATGCAGCGCTAAGAATTGAAGAGGTGGGGGAAATGAACATGTGACAGCGGACCCACCTCTCGGGAGCTACTCCATAATCCAGAGGCAGTGACTAATTGCATGCTTCTGGGTTTGTCAGTATTTGAGAATGCTCACATTTTTTAGCCAGCAATCAGCTTTGGGGCACGGCGAAATTGCCCTCTAATAGTCAGGGGTCTTGACAATAGAGAATGTCACAAAACAGGCACTGTTTTCTGCACTGAGTTCTTAAAAGAAATGGTTCATGCTTTGATGCCGGGCTCTCAAGACCAGTGAAAACCAAGAAAAGAGGAAAATGGTTCCTTGTGGTTGGAGAAAATGACTGTGCCAAGACAGAGCAGGCCTTTATCGTCCCTTTGCGTGACAACAATGTATTGCAATGAGATGGAATCTAGAGAGGTAAGCAGAGCAGTTTAAGAGGTTTACCATCTCTATTAGGTCAACAGGTGCGAGTGCAGCAAAGAGATCATTTCACAGAGGCGGCATTTACATGACTGAAAAAAAGCCAATGAATGGTTACAGCGAGTGCTGAATAACCCATTAATTAACTGTAAGAACCTGGCAATGAAAACATCTTGAAAATGTTTTCACTATTCATTTCCTAGATTTCAAGTTGGCATTTACTGAGGCGATGACCCACTTGTAGAGAGTGTTGCCTTATTCAGGGGGTGGCAGGCAACTTGTTTATTGAGCTGATTCATAGCATGGGGATAATCTCTGGTCCAATAAACCATCAGGACTCAGGCAAAGCTTCAGCCACTGATCACAGCCAACTCAGATTGACACCAGGGAATTAAGACGCCCTCTCTAAAGAGACAGTCAGAGGTGTAAGTCTCTTTGACGGGATGGCCCTTTGGGCATAGAGGGAACATAGTAAAAATAGTAAGTACCCCCTAAGCTGTTGCCAAGGTAATTCTGATCCTCATAGTGAGACTCATCTCCATACAGCCACTGATCATGACCTTATGCCACAGAAATAATTCAGCTCTTCAGCAATAAAGTATGAGACAACAATGACTAAAAGCCAACCTGAGTGGAACTTTAGACAGTTAGCTGCTCTGTATGCAGGTCCACACTGAGCATCTCTCAGAGTCAACATCCAGAGAATTCATATTGAAATGGGGCAGGCCTGGCCCCCTCAGCCTTTCCTCAGAGCCATCAAAGCGGATATTTGATATTGGTAGAACAAGATATTATCACAGCCCTCCAAAGATTTTGCATTCCCCCCCCTTTTTGTGTAAACCAAACAATTTTGGATTTTCTGAAGAAATGAAATAACACTACACAGAGATACTCGTAATTACAGCCTAAAGAGAAACAGCAACAATGGCATATTAAAACTTCAAATGATTAAAGGATCTTTGAAAACACACTATTATTAAAGTATTTTGACTTTTTGTATTATTGTTATTATAATGCTGCTATTGAGAATATGCTGCCGTTACAAACTCCTTACCACGCCCATGCCAGTTAATTTAGTCCTTAATGGGCAGCTACCTGTGCAGCTGCCATCGTAGCGTACGTGATGGAGGGAGGATGGAGGGAGGATGGAGGGAGATAGAGCGTCAGTGCCACAACTCGATTCAAAGCAGCGGCGACCACAAATACGCTCTTCAGCCTCGTTTTCAAACTGCGACATCACACTGTACTGCTTTTTAAAACTGCGACATTACACTATGCATTCAGCAAAAACTCAAAACAACACGTTAGACAACACATTTCGCGTGTGAAAGCTCCTCTCCTGAGCCCCCCCAAAAACCCCACACGCGTTTGAAAACTGTGGCAACCAGCGAACATCATCTAATAACATAAGGCTCGACAAGGCAGTTGGTGGGCTAATTTGGCTATTCGGGTGATATCCCGTCAAAACCTAGGAGCAGCTATGCAAACCAAACACCACAAAAAATAATAAGTCACATCGTTCTCTGTTCGCAGGTGTACACAAAAGGGGGAAAGTGTGTTAGAAAACTTTAACCAGCCGAGCTGCACTTTGCGAGAGGCAGCGTCCTGCGTAGCGGCTCTAACCGCCCCCCTGTCAGGCGACAACAAGGATGGAGGGAAAATGGCCTATTGTGTATTTATCGCAGGCGTCTGTTAAAAAGTAGTTAACGTACATGTTTAAAAAACGACGAACTGGTGTTGAGGGAGTGTGTGCGGTCGAGGCTTTTCAGTATGGGAGAACTCGGACGGAGTGAGAGCGGGGACAAAGTGAAGTTGTGTTAGCGTGTGTGTTGTGTGTGTGTTTTTTTACCTCAGTAGAGCCGTGTCGCCTTGTCTGCTGACCACACTTTCAACCGAGGAATAGTCCACAGTTTGTCCAGCGGGCAAACAGGACGGCAGAAAGCAGCACAGGCTGAGAATTATCGCAGTAAGCCACTGACCAGAGACACAAGCATCCTGCACCGCAATCATTATGTCCATCACAGCTGTATTTTGTTGCCGCTTTTTTCCCCCAAGTCTTCTTGTTGCAAAAAAAAAAATAAAGCGTCGGGTTGTGCTCAAAAAAAAAGAAAACCTTTGACGCGAACGACGCTTTATTTCCACACTTTTCCTCCTCGGAGCCCCGTAAAGAAATGGTCCGCCGTATAGTTTCCCAGGTTTTGTTTTGCTGGATGTAGAGCCCACTGTGCGGGGAAGTGTACTCTCCAGTGGCTTGCACACCATCTAGTGAGGAAATGCGATGTAAAATGGGAGCAGACCTAGAAGCAGACAACCCCCAGGCTCTGATCCTGTTGCCATGCGGCCGTTTCCCGGGCAACCCGTTCCCAGTGGCTCGTGATGGAGCAGTAAAACCGGTAGGTATTGATACAACCCAGGAGCAATTAAAGATATCGACTGGAGAACCACCCCCTATTTATTCCCCATAAGGAAATGAACAATCTGAGCATTTGGGAAAGGAGCTTACTGATTGTGACGCAGGTCTATCCCATAGGAAAACTCTGGAACTGGAAAAGATTTTAGACTGATGAGAAATATGTTTACAGGGGCATAAATGTGTGACATTATACATTTTTAAATGTGTAATTTAAAAAGAAAAAATACAAAATAAGACATTATTATAAGTCCCTTTTAGAAAATCATGGGAACATGAGAGTGATATTTCATTAAGCCAGGAAACAAGCATGAGGGAGCTCATACACACAGTGAGAGAGAGAGAAAGAGAGAGAGAGACACACAAGGGACTTACAAAGTTTGTTTTAGGGCAGTAGCCCTCTATTGTGCTGCTCTAAGCCTTTTGACTTAACCTACATAATACTTAAAAGACTGTAGGCTACAGCCGTATCCATGGAAATGACGTGCATTACTCTGAGGTGACATGTTGACATGGTGCCACTGAATTATTACAGATGACACATGACTTGTTTTGAACATAACATTAGCAACACTTCCCTGTGGATTTTTCATAGAATAGCAACTGAGGGCACTAAATCAACCTTGTGTCACTATTTCAGGGAGCATGTGCTTAAAAATGAGTCAGTTGGAGATTTTACTGCGGGGATATTCTAATTTGGTACCGTGGTACTCAAGTGTAAGATATCCTTGTTATTTTTCATGGCATTGTGTTGTTTCGGTGTTTTTTTATTTCATGTTTTATTGCTGATTTTATTTCCCGGTTTTGAGTTTATATCCTATATAAAAAGTATCCTATTATTTTCCTCTGAATTTTATATAACGCTTTCCCCTATACTTTCTTTTTATGAATTTCCACAGGAGGATCAATATAGTTTCATGATATCTTATCTTAAAATCTTATCTCACAGACCACAGAGCCAAGATTGCTGTCTGTGATGTTATCAAGATGCACTGTCTGGAGCTGCTTCATTGAAATTAAATGGGGTGAGTGGCTGTGAACTCCTGAACGGTTTGCTTCAGGTTTTACACCGAAGCGAGCTTCAGACTATTGCCATAGCCTTGGTTTAAGATCAGAAAAGGCGGCCGTGATCTTCCATAAATTCATTCTGGGTGCTGTGAGAGTTGCCTTTCTATCTTTGCTTATTATTTATCTGAAGAGATAAATTGTTTATTGCGGTGGTATGAGAGAGTATGAGTTTGGACACATTTCTATTTGCAGGCCTAGCTGTGACAGAGCGCCAGGAAGCTGGTTTCCAGAGGTTACAAGGGACATTCTCCTGTGTTGGAAATGAGACAACAACCAATGTTCCATGACAAGCAGCATTAAAAGAGGGGGAGTGAAAAGTTCATCTTGTCACAAACACAACTCTAATTTGCATAACTGAAGCTATTGTTAATAGCTGTGATAATAGCATTAATATCACTACTTATACTCTGGTTTAGTGACAGAGGTGTTTTGGGCTGAGATATTTTCCATCCTTCTTTTGTCAGTCACAACGTTGATTTTTTTTCCCCTTTTCCCTGAGCCCTTCCAGATACCTCAGAAAATGAACCTTCCCATGCATGAAAGCTATAATTACAGTGACTCCATTTAGTGTTAGTGCACTGCGCAGAGGGGGGAGAAGAGTGGCAGCCCCTAATATTCAACTCATAATAACCCCAGGAATTATGAACAAGATGAAAGAGATCAGGCACTGGACTATCACAGTGTCTGAGCTGTTTTTTTGAGTAATGGATACCTCAGACATTTCTTCAGAGTTTTCATAACCAGCCGTCTTTTCACAACCAGAATGAAATCAATGCATGCAATTTGCTTTAATAGGGAGTGAATGAAGTGACAAATAAAAAGATTGACCATTTTTCTCAAGACCACATGTTTCCCCTAAAGGTTCAAGTGTGTACTATCTCTCCGTGTTGTCAACATCTTTAAAAGTGAAGTGTAAGCCCAAGAAGAATCATCTTGTTTGTGCGTCTGTTTTAGTAGTTATGGAGACTAACTGCAGCATTAAGACTGTGGTTATTGTCTTAATAGTATACTTACGATGTGGCAAAAACCACTGAAGCATATGCTGCCTTATTTTGACTGTTTTGAGTGAATGATGAGTTTGACCAAAATCCCTTAGCAAAGAACATTCATGTCTTCTTGTCTTATTGCATGTTGTCACAGTATTTTTGTCAGGTATATTTGACATTTTACGCAATACCAAGCTCAGTTTATTGGATTCATTTAACACCAGTAATGCAGCACACTGAAAGCTATTGTTTCCTCAAGTAGGTAAGGACATGGCTATTATGATAATGGTTGAAGTCCTGCAGGGAAGTGTGCCAATCGATCACAACACTCGAAAATACGAATGCTGAGCAGCTGTATTAAATGCATCCCTGAAGCCTGTGTTTACGGGACATAAGACAGAGCCATGGGGGAAAATATAAGGATAATTGATCTCACGTTCAAAGGATCCCGGACTGTATTTCGATTGAACAGCCCCTACATATAAAATTTTAATTGTCTTTTTACATTGCAAATTGGCATTACTGGCTGTGAATGTAAGGCATAATATATGTTGACTCAGAAAGTAAAAAGGCATTTTTTTAAGGTGGACAACTTCTACTTTTTTTTTACTTTAGCCAGACATTAATATAAACATTTCTTTACAGAAGTCAAACAGAGGTCATTGGAACTCTACAACCTCTTATCAGCAACTACCAGGTCATGAGGTTGCAGCAGCGACTCCCCTCCTGCACTTATGCCTCCAAAAATAAAGATGATAAGACTCCAGAGGGACCACATTTATTCAAGAAAAAATTAAAACCACTAGACAATGTCATGCACAGAAGAACATTTTTTTTTTTACTGACATGTATATATCAGATGTCAAACTTACCTGCAGCAAGACTGGTTTGATGGTTTGATAAACCTTTGACAGTATTTAACATGGTGTGATAGATTTTAAGTTTTCTGAAAGCTGTTATACCTGTTGTTAACAGTCACATGATGGCAGAGAACTGCAGCAAAAAGAAGACTGCATGTCTCCAACTGCAAATTTAACGTTAGATAAAACACCGTCGACATTGAGCTTTCAAAAAAGGCTGGCATAACTTTCTAGGAAATACAAAACAAGGAAACCTTAATACCTTTGCTTTTGCTCTCAGTTCTTCACATAAGAAATTCCATTATGGTATAGTTCAACAACTGACACTTGTTTGAGTAGAGAGTATTACATTTCTCAAACTGTACCTTAGCGTCAAAGTCCAAATGCACAACATAGATAGAGTGGACAAAACACATTTTGAATGAAGTATAGAGTTTGATATATGTAGCCCTCCGGCAGTGATTTATTTTGAGCCTTTCCCTTCTTTGCTTTTCCTGAACTGCTCATTTGGGACAAAACCTACAACACTCATGAGTCATAACTGGTTTGTACTTTCAGAGAGCACCAACCACATTTTGTACATGGTAGATAGTTCAAAAAACTCTCCTGAGTCATTAAATATAGCAAGTAACTGATCTTTTAGCACTAAGAGTGGCGTTTACTATGAACTTTCTCCAGGATGTGCAGCACAGCCAGACAAGTAAAATTAAAAGAGGGAGCAAGTGAAAAGTTCATCTTGTCGCATGTTATGTTGAGAGTAGGCAGCACTGAAACTTTACTGACATCTTTATAGGACGTGGTGTAGTTTCTTGTTAATTCTCATCGCTTAAATGTGGAGCAGCTGTCTGAAACAGTTGAGTGCCCAGTTGGCTGGATGCAGAGTGGTCCGTGGTGTATCAAGTATGCTTTAGGCTACATAATAATGAGACTCTGGGAACCATCACTGGATGAAGCCACAGATGAAACTATCATAACACTAAACTGATAATTTACTGATCATAAGCAGCCAAATGTGTTATTTCTAAGAATATAGTACAACATATTGTACTTACACTTGTTCTTTCATTAGTCTCAAATAAACAAGAATTGCTTTATAATAACTGGAAGGCAGACAAAAATCAAAGACCGGAGCAGATAAACAGGCCGTAACACGAATCTGTCAGAATGTGCCCCCATATGTGAAACTTTGCCAAAGGGCTCTTCCATTTATTTATTTCAAAGTGACAGTTACAAGTGCTTGTCAAGCAACCTTGAGCGGCAGGGCCAACCATGATGATGGATTGTTCCAGAGATTTAGACCAAAGCCATTGAGTCAGATAGATTCAATGTAAAGTCATCACTTGCTGTCTGATTCGTCAGAATGTTTGTTTAAAGCTGCAGTAATACATTTTTGGCCACTCTATTGTCACCCTATAAATATGGTATTCCAAACACTTGCCTATATACACACCCAGCAAACATAGATCAAAATTACATTAGTATTGATTTGAAAGTCTGTAAATGTCCAATATGCCCATTCCAATATTCACTCTCCTTTTAGCTCTATTTTTGGTCTCCACCAACTCAAAATATCTTACCTTTTTTAGATTTTAGATTCGACTTTTTTAGTTATGTAAAATAAACTTATTTTTAATTATAACTCATGTTTGTTCTTTCCTTGTTTCTCCAGCATTCAGCCAGGTTGTGACATACTGTAATTTCATCCATTGTTGACATAAAAAATATTGTTTAGTGCTGCTTTGGGCATATGACTCGTGCATGAATAACAGACTAAATCCTTCCCAAATAAGTTTTTTTTTATTTATTTATTTTTTTAATCTATTTTTCAATATAATTTAGTTTCCTTTACTCTTCTGTGGGCAAATATTGGTGTGGTATAAACCACTAAAAACCTCGCTGTGTGGGAAAGAAAGTATGATGCTTGCTTCCTGCTCCCAGGTTTTCTTTTTTTTTGTGTTCTGCTCAAACACCAACCACAGGCAAAGCAGCAGCTCCTGTTTGTTTTCTTTGATTGTGTGAACTAGCATGGCAAAGCCCCCCTCTGTATGTACTGAGA